TGGCTTCCATAAAAAGCCATTCTGCCAAAATAGATGAGCTGTGTGAAAATCTGTCAGTTGAGATAAAGACAGTAGAAGGACAGCCTGGGGGCAAGAGGGCAGGATCCAATGTCAGCTGTCGAACTGACGCATACATCTAGCTCTGGACTCCTCACATCTTATGATGAACAACAGCTTAGGAAAGATGGTTACCACCACCCTTTCTGTCCCGTGGTCCATTGCTGAATGAGAAGATGGTACTGTCTTAAAGGGATGTGATTATTGGGAAGGCTTGAACAGAGCCTGGCCTGGAAAAAAAGCATGGACATCCTCTTGGAGGGGCAGTCCTCCATGAGATACCTCAGTAAAGCAAGGAGGTTAAGATGTCAAAGCAAAAAAAAAAAAAAAAAAAAAATCCCATGGCCTGAGTAGTTGGGGGAGTCAACATATATACAAGTTACAGGATTAACTAGATGCTGCTGAGGAGCCTTGTGGGTGCAGCTCCAGCCTCATCCTGAGCTAAAATGATGAGCAATTGTTCAAAAATGTAAAGCAGGTTTTCAAAGCAGCTTGTAGCAGCGTGGGTGCCAAGAACAGATGTTGGAACTTGCCCCATAGGGTTTGGTTCTTCACAGATGCAGGACTAATTTGGCACCTGATTTCCCAAGCCGGTGGTTTACACAACAGCTGACAGTGTGCATGGTTGGGATGTCTGGAATGTGCTCACTGTAGGATCAGGTAAACTCTGTTCCACGTGACAAAGAAGAAGTAGTTGCCAGAAGGCCCTTTGGGTGTAGATTACGGCGTTGAAAATTAATGCTTATTATGTGCCCAAATCCTGGGCAGCTCTTGCTAAGAAACTGTGGGCAGGCTGCTCAGAAAGCCAGGTTTGATTTCCATGAATGGGTGTCGAGTAGTAGGCAAAAAAGCATGGAGTATAAGGATCACAGTGTGAAGTCCTTGTGGAGCTGGGTCTGCTGTGCAAAAGTGTGCTTTCCCTTCCAGGTGGCTAGGAACCTGAATCAAAGTTGGATTTATACTCCCAGGAGTTAAATGCCTGTAGCTGTCTGTTTCAAAGTCAAGGAGAGAAGTTAGAGCTGCGGATTGTGACAAATACCAAAGGAGTAGAAGTGTTTCCCTGCTCTAATAACTCATGCTAATGCAACTCAAAACCACCACCGTTCAAAGCCGGGGAAGCTGCAGGCATCCCGGCTCTGAGAGCAGGGCAGCCATTCTTCACATTCCCCTCCAGCACTCAGAAAGGGTTGAAATCTCCCAGGAGTGCCTTTTTCCTTCATTTTTCCAGCCCCAGCCTAGCAGCCACATGTTTGAGCGCTGCCTTCCCCTCCATTGCCAGCACCACTGGTCAGTTCACTTCTCAAGGAATTCTGACTCCTCCATATCTGACCTCTCAGCTGTTTTTCTTTTTCTCTGCACCTTTCCTTTCACAGTACCTTTCGAGCTTTCATAGCCTGTACCCTGTCAAAGCACGTGCCTTGCCTCCTGGGGGCTGTTGTGTAGACCCTCTTGCCCCCTGGCCTTGCTCTCTCTGGCAGGGTTATTGCCCTCTGATAGTGAAGCCAGCCTGCAGTTTGGCCTCCAGTCCTGCTCACCCTCTGTTTGCCCTCCAGTCCTGCCCACCTGCCCTGCCACAGCTCAGCAACCTGCTTTCCATTTGCTCCCACTGCTGCTCACCTGACTGCTCAGAACCATTTACACAGCGGGAATTGATCCTGCTTTGCACCCTGGTTAGGGGCCCTCAGAAGACCCTTCCAGCCCCACTCTTTCTAATTTTAAAGTTGATGCTCACACGAAGTTATAAGCAAAACACTTGTTCCAGAAGTCCCCTCCAGGGTTATGTGAAAGTATGGTTTGTGGTTTGCCATCATCCAAACCAGCTCTTGTCTGCTTGTGTACACACATAACTAGCAGGGAAACATCCCTGTCCTAAGCACTCTCAGATCCTCTCAAGAAGTGGTTTTGGGTAATATGAGCACAGGTAAATGATAGAAAACATTTGTCTGGAATGTTGGAGTAAACTTCTGTGAAATACTCCTGGGCTAAGCAGTGTATCTGTACATGCATTATACTTTGTCCAACATATTTGGAAATTCTGGTCAAACTATCAGCTACTTTTCTTTTTCTCCCAAGTAAAGCATCCATGAGTGAAAAAGAGGGTAATCCCAGAGAGCCCCTGTCATTTAGTAAGCATCACACAGAAAAAAAATCGTCTCTGTTCCTCCAAAGTTTATTTCTTGGGCTGAAAAGCTAATAAAGAGCAGGTGAACATGAAAAGCAGCATGAGAAAAATACCTCCACGACAGCTCAGTGGAACAGGAGTAGCAAATCAGTACAGCAAACATTTGGAGTTTGGTCCCACTGTCTTATAGAAAGCAGAGCTTTACCCCTGATATTTGTGACATTTGGGAACAGAATCCCAGGAGTTGCATACATTTGCTGTGTATCACCTCTTCTCTCCCATGGCCAGCTGCAAAGCATTTCTGCTGTTCTTCCTTGGAAAAAGAGAATTCTACGTTGTGTGGTTAGTAGTATTTCTACCTCTTTTTTGCCTTTTTTCCATCCTCTTGTTCCCCAACCACAGTCCAGTTCTGGCTGTGAAATCTTTTGTCTCATGAACCATTTTCTACCAGCAGCTTTTGTAGACATTTTCTTTGGTACCTGCTGTCCCCCAATGATAGCTGTTTTGGGGAGACTTGAGGCATCCTAGTTGTCTGTCTTGGTGCCTCAGAGTCAGTGAGGTTTGAGATTTCAGAAGGGGCAGGATCCAAACCAAATTTTGTTTTCCAGGTAGAAGAATACTAAGAATCAACACTGATCTCTCACCTCCTTTTTCTTCGTCTTTGCAGGAATGGACATACACGTACAACCACCAAGTCCGCCAGCAGCAGCTGTGTTTGTCTGTGTACACCCTCTTCCCTGGTTCCCAGGTGCTGCTGTCACCTTGTAAAGAAGGTGACAACAAGCAGGTGAGCCTTGTCACTGATTCCCCATTTTCTTTGAAGTTCCCTTTCTTTTAGCATAGTATTACTGCACGTTAAATGGCCCATGTGCTTTGACTTCATCTGGGAAACACAGTCTATTTGGGAGTACACACTCTGGCCTGTTCAGCCCTTTGCCTCTTAAATGAGTGTGTTAATAAGGATGTCTATTAGTGAGGGTGGTGATCTGGATACTTATCTGCAGAAATCAAACCCAAACTGGCAATTTAGTTCACACGGACTGCCAGTCAGGCAGCAGATGCTAACGTTTCTCTGCAGTTAATCATTGAGTTGGCATTTGAACCAGTGACCTGGGGAAAAAGCTGTTAATAATATATTATCTTTCTGAAGTCAGGCAGAGGCTGAGCTTAAGTGAGTGTGTTTCTGATGGGAAAAATGCTCAGTGTGCACTCTGCTTGGTGTGGGTTTGAGGACCTTGTACGTCCCAGCATCAGGCCGCAAAGGCTCAGTGACAACCGTCGTCTTGATGCTGGGATAGTATAGTAAAAGCATAATGGGAAAGAAGCTTGATCACCTGTTTCTCCTCTTGTGTGTGTCTCTCCTCAGCGATGGGGTAAAGTTGGCTCACATATTGAACACATAGCTTCACGCTTCTGTTTGGACACTGAGATGATTGGGGACACAAATGAAAGTATTAAAGAGCTTGTCATCAACCCTTGTGAGAGCACAGCCATGAGTCAGCGCTGGGACATGGTGATGTCTTGACCTGTTGGAGGACGTAGACAGCGGCGATGGGCACTGAGACATTGCTACAGGCAGCCAAGATGCACCAGATGGAGCTCAAATGCCAAACCATTGTGGGTCCTTGTGTGCTGTGGGACAGATGAAGAATCTTTCAAATAAAAATAGGACATGGCACTCCAGGTTGAACAATGGATGTTGACTGTAAGACGTGCAGCTGGTATTGGCCTGTTGGCAGTCATGCATTCAAAGAGAAGGGATGGCAGAAAAACAAACTTGAAATGTTTTAAAGGGATACTGGGGTTCCTGCAATGGACTGTACAGAATGTCAGTGCGAACCATATTGATTAATCTCCCTGAAAACACGCGTAGAAGAGCCTTGGAAACCAAAAAGAGTCTTGGACTGAACAAAACCAGCATCTCAATAGCTTCTGGGGGTTGAGGCAGGTGTGCAAGGAGGGATGTTCCAAGGGATGCTAAGAAACATCGCCAGGGGTCAAGTGGAAAACACTGAATTATCTTTGCACTTTTCATAGCTGTGGATGATTTTGTCTTCTGCAGACAGCATGGGTGGAGCCATGTTGCACATTTGTATTTGTACCTGATCCACATACATGTTGTGTGGATCAGAAGCAGGACAGTAGTTTATGGTTGTGACCAGAATCAAACCAGCAAGTAATGGGGGAATCCTACTCTGTGCTAACTGCACGTGGGCGTTGTTGAATCTCCAAAGCCCAAGCAAACAGAGGATACAGTGTGTGAGATTGAAGGATATAACTGCTCTGAAGCTGGGAGAAAAGGCAGTAACATGATTATTTCTCCTCTCTGAAGGTCGTGGGTTACTGAAAACTCCCCTATAATCTCCCTATGTGTCTCTCACTGCTTCAGATCTGGACTAAATCAAATTTTCACTTTTCTTCCATAAAAGTAATATTTTTGGTAATTGAAGGTAATGGTGTCATATTTTTGTTTCCCAATTTCCCAACTACAGAAGAGGGGACTCCCAGGAAGAGCTGCTACTGAAGGAATGGTGAAGGTAATTAAAATTAGGGGCTGCTCTGAGAAAGGCAAAGGTTTTGCTTCCCAGATATCTTGTAGCCCAAGATGTGAAGTACTGAAGAAAAGGTATGGGATTCCCTGGTCACTCTTATGAGCAGGGAAGCCTGGATCACAAAGCACCTCTCTCCCAAAGACATTTAGCATAGGCAGACCCAGCAGAAATTATTTCTTTGGCTTTTGGAGGTAAGTCAGTAACCAGAGGTCACGTCAGGTGCTATCACTATGTGGGAGAGAGGTGACTGCCAAAGGATAATAGGACAGAGATGACTTCAGAAAGGGTTTTAGGAATAGAAGACTGGAAGGTCACTTCCAGCCTGTCTTTCAGGGCAGCTACCACTACAGCAACAAGTAACAGTCAATGGATCACCAAGAGCTGTGCACACAGCTCTTGTGTAGTAACAACTCTCAAAGAGAACTTTCGCGGAACTGTCAGTGTGGCTTGAAAAACTTATATAGCTTGTCTGTCTAAAAATGCTAGGGTTTGATGAAAATCCTCTCCTTTGTTTCCTGTGCTGCAAACTATAGGTAAAACACCACGAGATTTAAGCCTTCAAGTGCTCTCAGCACCCCTTCTTGAATAAATTGCTGACTTTCAGGGTTTTACTGCCTCAGTTTCTCTTCCCTCAGTGCTGGGAGAAAGCCATATGCGTAAATCTCCCCGGCTTTAGAGGCAGAACCACTATAGCTCTTCATGTACAAAAGGTCGCAGTGCAAAATGCTTTTCATGTGCTGCAGTGATTACAAACCTCATCAAGCTCCCTTGCTGTGAGCCTCAAGGGCTTCTGTTATTGAAAGGGCTGGAGCAAGCTGTCATTTCATGGTGGGAGGTGGCATTGTTTCCATGCCACCACTTTGTGCAGCAAACAAAGGGAGGCACTTAAAATGGAATAGACCCATTTCACAAAGAAGGGCAGTGACCTTGGTCTTCTTCTATTTAATTGAACAGGGAAATATCACACCTACTTTTCACAATGGTGATGACAGGCAAGTGGTAGTAATTCCTTGTCTAGTGCTTACAAGGGAAACCAGTTCCCAAGGGCTTGAAGCTTAACACGTTCACACCTGTCCTGTGCCTACAGGCTGGGACTGCCCAGCTGCTGGCACTTCGATTCCGAAGATTCAAACCAATTTGGCATCAGTTTTGAAGTTCAGCACCTGGCATGTGCACTCTGAGCAGGACCTCAGAACGATGTAGCTTTACCGTTTTCCACCAAAGCTGAAAATATCCATTCTGCTGACAACCAAAGCTCTCTTAACAGGTAATGCTCTTTGCCTTAGTAGAAACAGCTACCTCACTATGTGTGTGTGCTTGATCACAGGTACCCATGGGACCTGCAGGGATGTATTCCAGGAAGAAGTTGTTTGACCTGCTTTTCAGCTCTCATGCCTTTTGTGAAGCACAAATGCTATACCAAACCCCTCCTATTCCAAAACATGCATTAAGGTGATCACTGTGAATGTGCTTGGGGGCAATGGAAAGCAGACAGTAGGGAGGTTGATATTAGCCATGGTGTCCCCTAACAGAGAGTAGCAGCTAAGTTCAGCTAAGTCTCTTGCAGGCCCAGAAACCTCCAAGAACCTAACAGACCTGGGGAGCAGCAGCCGCTTGGCAAACTGATGATTGTGTCTCACACATCCACCAGCTATAACCTTAGGCTACAGCTTATTTCATGGTCCAAGAAATGAGATTATCCCTATGGATCAGCAATGTTTTTGGAGAAGCCTGAGAGTATCAGCCTGAATCCTGGGAAGCTTTATATAAGCTGGCAATGGTCTGGCAGTCTCCAGAGTTAGCCCCAATATGGCATTTAGCAAATCTGCTTAACATCCCTGCAAAGAAACATTGCATCATGTCAGGGGAAAGGTTAACTGCTGCTGAAATCCAACTCGTACCTTTAGGTTTATTTCACTTATTAAAATACACTGAAGACAGATGAACCTTCTTTGATTTGTATTTGTTCATTGCCTAGACATTTATTATCATGCTGTGAGCAGATACACGTGACTGATGGGTATCTAGATGGGCTCCCATGCCAATATTTCCTAAGCCCTAATGTCATTTGGTAGTAATGTTTTTTTTTGTAGCATTTTCCACTGACTTGAAAGAATAGAAGATAAAGTAGAAAATATGATTCTAATCCTGGCTGTTGAGCTTTGTGACAGCCTTTATGATCTCCAGATAAGTCATTTCTTGTGCCTTGAGAAAATTAGATTCAGAGCAGGAAACTCAGGGCTAGAACTACTACTAGCTTTTAAAAAACCAACCAAGGCTATACAAAAAAACCCCAAACCTAAACTTCCCCTTCCCTCACAAAAGAAGTCTGTGTTCCAATGGGAACAAATCCATCTGGTTTTAGTTGGGCTGGAGAAGTCTTGCAGCTCTTATGTTGCTGCTTATGTGATTCCCAGGTATTTTGTGCTCATCTTCTCTCTGTACTAGTGCAGTACTGTAAGATAAGAACACAGATCATCAGTGCTTGGAACCTCAGGTTACAACGTGGCAAAGTAGCAATTTAGTAGTAAAGAGATGGAAACTGAATTCAAAGATCTTTGATTATCCAGCAATGCCATAGGAAAATGAACCTGATGGATGAAGCATGGAGGACTGTTCAAGACAAGCACTAAACCTGAATCCTAGTCCCTTCTTCTGCTTCTAGAAGTGGCTTGGGATAGCTTACTTCATTTCCCTGCCACAGTTTCCCAAACATTTAGTGAAGACTGTGTGTTTTGAACATGAGAAAGCCAAGGATTAGTTTCTGTTGCATGCAATACCAGCAGTACTTGGATGGCAGTCTCTGAAGTTAGGTCCAGTTAGCTCTGGACTCTTTTAATTTGCCTGTGCAGGGTCTGGTTCAAATGGAGTTAATTTTCTCCATAGCAGCCTGTAAGGTCCTGTGTTTCAGACGGGTAAACAAAACAGTGTTGATAACACACAACAGTGTTTCAGTTATTGCTATGCCTGCACAGTGCCAAAGCCTTCTCTGTCTCTTGGTCTGCTGCCCCATTGAGTAGGCTACAGCTGGGGAGGTGACACAGCTAGGATAGCTGACCCAAACTGACCAGAGATGTATCATACCATATAACATTTCACTCCACAATAAAACTGCAGGGAGTTTTGCCACAGGGGGTGTTGCATAGAAACTGGGCATCAGTCTGCAAGTGTTGCGTGACTGCCTTCACATCACTTAGCTGGTTTTGCTTTTGTCTTCTTTCATTTCCCTTCACTTATTGGACTGTCTTTATCTTGAGCCACCAGTTTTTCTCACTTTTGCCCTTCTGATTCTTTTTTCCCTACTGTTTGGTGGGGAGTGAGTGACTGGTGAGGGGCTTAGCAGCCAGACAGGGTCAACCCACTGCAATGCCCTATGCAAACCAGGGCCTGTAGTTTAGCAGGCTGGTATTCTTCATGGCTTGGGCTCTGATCACAACTGTGCTGCTCAAATTTCAGATCCTATAAGCTATGGGCTTGTATTGTTTGTAGAAGAGGTAAAGGAAGCAAAGTGAAGATGACACACAAGCAGCAGAAGAAACTGTAGCTCATTAATGTTCTGGCTAAATTAATTTTGAATGATCAGTCTAGCTCCAGATTTAATATGCAGCTGCTTTAGATGGCTGAAGAGTTTAAGGAAGCCTGGTATGGGTGTCCAGCTTACATTGAGACTTAAATGCTGAAATCCAGTGAAATTTTTCCAAATTTATGGATGTTTTCCATATGTTCACTGTTCTGTTACTCATTGGAAGTGCCTTCAGAACCCTGTAAGAATAAAAACCTGTTGCAAGCTACTACTTCTCCAACTGAGTCTAATTAAGTTTTGAGTTAAGCTGCATTTTAGCTTAGAGCTGATTAAAAACAACATATAAATTTGCAGGCAAGAATGCTCCTTTGGTGGTGTAGGGGGCTGTTTTGTTTTCTCTGGTATTACATAGGCACTAAAGAAGTCCAAGCTGTTTGT